CCGTTTCCCGACGGAGCTGGAAGGGGGTGACCCGCCGGGTCCTCAGTCCAGCATCTCCAGCTGGGGGACTCCACCTCCCCCCCCCCCCGCTAGCCAGGCCAGGGCTCAGGGAGGAGGGCAGTTGCAGTCCAAGCACAGCGCCGCCCCCCCTTGGCAAAGGCCGGCTTCCCCCCCCCCCAAGAGGACCCCCTGCATCCCGGGGACTCCACCTCCCCCCCCCAGCTGGCCAGGCCAGGGCTCAGGGAGGAGGGTAGTTGCAGTCCAAGCTCCAGGCCCCCCCTTGGCCAAGGCCGGCTTCCCCCCCCCCAGGACCCCGAGGGGAGAGAGGAGACTCACCGGAGGAGGAGGAGGCCAGAGGAAGACCCGCCCCTCCCTTCCGGTCCCCTCTAGGAGGGCGGCTCAGCTGCTCTTCACCCTTGCCTGGCCAGCTGGGATGTCTCCTTGGGGGGAGCCTGGGGGCCGGAGAAGGAGGCGGAGGAGCCGAGAGGGGGAGAGGCAGGGCGGGGGGGGCTGGAGGGCCTCTGGGGCCAGGGCTCCAGTCAGGCAGGGCCAGAGCTGGCCAGGGAGCAGCAGCCTCCTCTAAGGTAGACTGGCTCTGGCCCTGGAGGCTCCGTGCAAGAAGTGCTCTGAGGAAGGTGCATCTCGCCAAGGGGGACCTATCCGGCCCAGGATCCTGCGCCCACAGTGGCACCCAGGAGAGCGCCTTTTGCCCACTAAGGTAGACTGGCTCTGGCCCTGGAGGCTCCATGCAGGAAGAGCTCTGAGGCAGGTGCATGGAGCCAAAGGGGACCCATCCGGCCCAGGATCCTGCGCCCACAGTGGGACTCAGGCGCCCCAAGCAGGAGGAGAGCGCCTTTTGCCCTCTAAGATAGACTGGCTCTGTCCATAGAGGCTCCATGCAAGAAGAGCTCTGAGGCAGGTGCCTCGCGCTAAAGGGGACCCATCCGGCCCAGGATCCTGCACCCACAGTGGCACCCAGGCGCCCCAAGCAGGAGGAGAGCGCCTTTTGCCCTCTAAGATAGACTGGCTCTGTCCATGGAGGCTCCATGCAGGACTCCTCAGAAACCAGGAAGAGCCCTGAGGCAGGTGCATTGCGCCAAGGGGGACACATCCGGCCCAGGATCCTGCGCCCACAGTGGGACTCAGGCGCCCCAAGCAGGAGGAGAGCACCCTCTCCCCACCTTGTGCTCTGCCGCTCTAAGATAGGCTGGCTCTGGCCCTGGAGGCTCCGTGCAAGAAGAGCCCTGAGGCAGGTGCATCGCGCCAAGGGGGACCCATCCGGCCCGGGATCCTGCGCCCACAATGGCACCCAGGAGGAGAGCACCTTTTGCCCACTAAGGTAGACTGGCTCTGGCCCTGGAGGCTCCATGCAGGACTCCTCAGAAACCAGGAAGAGCCTTGGGGCAGCTGCATGGAGCCAAAGGGGACCCATCCGGCCCAGAATCCTGTGCCCACAGTGGCACCCAGGTGGGTGCCCCCAAGCAGGGAGAGGGCGCCTTCTCCCCCACCTTGTGCCCTGCCATTCTAAGGTAGACTGGTTCTGTCTATGGAGGCTCCATTCCAGACTCCTCAAGCCCTGCAGCAGCTGGATCTAGGAGGGGAACCATCTAGCCCAGGACCCTGCGCCCTCATTGGCCCCCAGTTGCCCCCCAAGGGAAACCCAAGAGCAAGGATCCTAGGCCAAGAGCAGCCCTCTCTCCTCCTGTGGTTTCCTGGAACTGGGATTCAGAAGCCTTGCTGCTTTCGACTGTGGAGCCAGAGCAAAGCCATCGCGGGTTGTGAGCCATCCTGGCCTCCTCCGTGAATTTGTCCCGTCCTCTTTTAAAGCCATCCAAGGTTGGTGGTGATCACTGCCTCCTGTGGCAGTGAGTTCCACAGTTTAACTCTGCGCTGCATGAAGGAGGGTTTGCTGTTACCCCTCCCCCTGGATCCTGGCACACATTCACCCTTCTTCCATCCAGGAGGAGGAATGAGAGTTTCAGAAAGCAAAGGGTTATAGTGACAGAGTTGCCTGCTAGAGAGGAGGGCTGTGAAGAAGGAAGTGGCAGGCGGTGACGCGCCCCCCAGAGGCGGAACCCCAGATCTCTCCCCATTGTCATCTCCCTGCAAATTGGAAGCGAGTCCGGCTTCCACTTTTGGCTTCTGGCCCTGGTGGTGCTTTAGTCGAGATTTCTGCATTTAATAATAATAATAATAATAATAAATTTTATTTATACCCCGCCCTCCCTGACCAGAGCCGGGCTCATGGCTGCTAACACCAAAAAAATCATAGTAAAACATAATAGGGGGAAAGGGGGGGGGACCAATTTAAAACACAGGTTAAAATGCAATTTAAAATGCAGCCTCATTTTAAAGTAGCTGGGGTTGGACTAGATGACCCTCGGGGTACCTTCCAACTCTGATTCTGTGATTCCCACTTGCAGTGCAGGCCTCCACCTCCTGGTTGGCACCTCCAAGTGCCCCCTGGTGCCTGGCAGGGGCGCCCTGACTGCACCAGCCCCTCACTTGCCAGGAGAGTGACCCACTTTACAGGGGCAGCAGCACAAGACCCACCCCTGCCAGGTTGCCAGAAGTGCTTTGGAGGGAAGAGGCAGAGATGCAGTGGCTGGGGTTGCGGCGCTCATCTCGCTTTACTGGCCGAGGGAGCCGGCGTACAGCTTCCGGGTCATGTGGCCAGCAGGACCAAGCCACTTCTGGCGAACCAGAGCAGCGCACGGAAACACCGTTTACCTTCGCGCCGGAGCGGTACCTATTTATCTACTTGCACTTTGATGTGCTTTCAAACTGGTAGGTTGGCAGGAGCTGGGACCGAACAACGGGAGCTCACCCCGTCGTGGGGATTCGAACCGCCGACCTTCTGATGGGCAAGTCTTAGGCTCTGGGGTTTAACCCACAGCACAACCCGTGAGGGAAGGATGCACATGGGAGCAAAAAAATCTGCGTGCCAGGATCCAGAGGGGCAAGGGATGAAAGCAAAGCCTTCTTCAGGCAGCGGAATTAAATTGTGGAACTCCCTCCCACAAGCGGCAGCCAGGGCCACCAACCTGGATGACTTTAAATGAGAACTGGGGGGGGGAATTCATGAAGGTGGAGAGGGCTGGCAGTGGCTCTGCTCTATAACAACAACAACAACAACAACAACAACAACAACAACAACAACAACAAAATTTATTATTTCTACCCCGCTGTAGCAGGAACCCCCCCCCACCCCAATCATTCTGTTTGTACAAACTTCACACACACACACACACACACACACACACAGACACACACTCCATACGCCACATTTCTGTTATAAATTCATAGAAAATCAACCATGCATCGGATTTGCACTGTTCCATTTTTATTTTACTCCATATGGCAAGAACTATCAAAGCCATAATCCCTTCACCGTCTCAGCACATCCACAGGAGCCCTGCCCAGATGATCCCAGACAGAAGACAATCAAGATCACAAAGAACTTGCATATGGGAGCGGATTCAGCATGGACTGAAACAAAGGACAATGATCAGATCTTCCCTCTGGGGGCAGGAAACTGCAAACTCCCCTTTGTCTCCTGGAAGTGACTCATGGGGGGGGGGGGAAGGAGGAACCAGTCAGGTGACAAGACACTCAGGTTACCACCAACTCCTCCCTCAACCCCTCCTTTCTGTAATGTATGCATGATGTTTCTGGGGGTGGGCTTGACCTAGAGGAGGGGAATTTCAAAAGTTTTTATAAGACCTTGCACACTATTTTTCTGGGTTCTTGCTCTCACCTGCAAGTGAGGGGAGCACCCTGTCGCGACAGTCTTTCTTCAATAAAGACCAAGCCTACAGGCTGCTGATTTGCTTCAATTTACTCTGGTTGGTGTCTTTACTTTTCGTCCAAGGGAGCCCTCAGATTTTTCTGGTAACACCCGCCAATCTGGCTGGATTTCCCCAGCCCCTCTTTGCCTCCACAGTCAGAGGGAGCAGTGCTCCTGAGGGGGAGTTGCTCTTGTGCTCAGATCCCGCTTGCAGTTGCAGGTTTCCCACAGGTTGGCCACTGTGAGGAAACAGAGAACAGGGTGCTGTTTGTTTTTTGCATTGTCACCACAGTAGAATTATTATTATTATTATTATTATTATTATTATTATTATTGATATCCTGTCCATCGGGCTGGGTTTCCCCAGCCACTCTGGGTGGCTTCCAACAGAAGATTAAAAGTACAGTGGTACCTCAGGTTACAGACGCTTCAGGTTACAGACTCTGTTAACCCAGAAATAGTACCTCGGGTTAAGAACTTTGCTTCAGGATGAGAACAGAAATTGGGCTGCGGCGGCACAGCAGCAGCAGGAGGCCCCATTAGCTAAAGTGGTGCTTCAGGTTAAGAGCAGTTTCAGGTTAAGTACAGCCCTCCAGAACAAAATAAGTACTGCACCCGAGGTACCACTGTACATTAAAACATCAGTCATCAAAAACTTCCCTCAACAGGGCTGCCTTCAGATGCCTTCTAAAATTCAGGTAGTGGATTATTTCCTTGACATCTGATGGGAGGGCGTTCCACAGGGCGGGCGCCACAGGTTGGCATCTGTCTATCTCAGGAGACAAAGGAGGAGTGTTCTTCCAGGGGTAAAGTCAAACCATTAGAAGGTTGCATCTCCTGCTGTGGCTGCAGAAACCGATACAGGAAAGGCATGATGAGTTGCAGCTGAGGCAGATGAAGGCTTCGGGTTCTGCTGCTGCAGATGCACCAAGACGATTCCTCTCCCTGCAGTCTTTCCTCTTCTGGCCACTACTGTGGATGCACAACCAGGCATCTCTTTTCCCCCCTCCAAATGAATTCACATTCCCCCTTGACTTAAGTTAGCCATGTTCATTCATTTCAGTTTGCCCACTGAGTATTGCTTACCCAGGAACCATGCAAGGCAGAAAACAAGAATGCCATTATTCAGAGCACTCCGCTTTGATGCAGATTCTGTGACTTTTGGGTGTGCTGCAAATATAGGTGTTCAATGTGTTTTTGCAACATGAGAGTAATGCATGCTTGTGCGTATTTATAAATGTTTATATTGGAGGCAGTGAGAGATTTTACTTTCTTGGGCTCCAATGATCACTGCAGATGGTGACAGCAGTCAGGAAATTAAAAGACGCCTGCTCCTTGGGAGAAAAGCAATGACAAACCTAGACAGCATCTTGAGAAGTAGAGACGTCACCTTGCCGACAAAGGTCCGTATAGTTCAAGCTATGGTTTTCCCAGTAGTGATGTATGGAAGTGAGAGCTGGACCATAAAGAAGGCTGATCGCCGAAGAATTGATGCTTTTGAATTCTGGTGCTGGAGGAGACTCTTGAGAGTCCCATGGACTGCAAGAAGATCAAACATCTCCATTCTGAAGGAAATCAGCCCTGAGTGCTCACTGGAAGGACAGATCCTGAAGCTGAGGCTCCAAGACTTTGGCCACCTCATGAGAAGAGAAGACTCCCTGGAAAAGACCCTGATGTTGGGAAAGATGGAGGGCACAAGGAGAAGGGGACGACGGAGGACGAGATGGTGGGACAGTGTTCTTGAAGCTACTAATATGAGTTTGACCAAACTGCGGGAGGCAGTGGAAGACAGGAGTGCCTGGCGTGCTTTGGTCCAGGGGTCACGAAGAGACAGACACGACTAAACGACTAAACAACAACAACAATATTTATACACACACACATATATATAGATAGATAGATATAGATATATAGATAGATAGATAGATAGATAGATAGATAGATATGATAGATATATATAGGGCGTTGTTGTCCCGCTTGGTCCTGATCCTGCTGCAGGCTCTTTCTTCTTCTGCCCTCCCTCGGGGGGAGCTTCCAGGGGCAGAGCCAGTCTATCTGGATCCCGAGTTCCACAGGGACTTTGGACCCCCATGAGAACACGAGGCTGCCTGGCCTGTCGGGATCCAGCAACACGCCTCTCCTCGCACTCCGAGGTCAAATTCGGCCAGCGCAGACCCCGCCCCTTCGCCAAGGGAGGCTGCGCATGCGCCTTCGGCGGGGTTTCTGCCGCTCACGTGACGCCTCCCCGGGTGAGGTCACGTGCCGCATCATGGCTGCGCCCAGGCGCCTCTTCCCGCTGCTGCGGCTGCTGCTCCTCCTGCCCTGGCTGGGTTCTGCCTGGCGGCGGAGGGAGGCGATGGGGCGGAGCTGCCGGCGGTGTGCGGCGGAGGCTGCTGCCCGGGGCTCGTGCGGAACGGCTCCGCGGTGGCCGCGCAGTGCGCCTCCCGGCCGGGCGCTCGGCTGCGGGGCCGCTGCTGCTGCTCGGGAGGCGAGGCCGCCGCCACGGTGGTGGGGTGAGTCCGGCCCGGGAGGGAGCCCGGGGCTGCAGCCAAGGGAATCTCGGCCGTGTTTGAAAAGGGGACCCTTCCCGGACATTATTCAGTTTTTAGCGGAGGGAGGGACGAAAACCTCTGTCACCGAATCTGATGTCAGCGTGCCGGGAGGGGCGCTGCTTTCTGTTCATGTGTGCTGGATGCTTTAGTTAGTTGAGATTCCTACCTCGCAGGAATTTGGACTGGGATGGCCCTTGGGGTCCCTTCCAACTCTGCTATTCCGGGATCAATGATTCTAAGTCTCTTCTGCTTTTATGCTGTGTCTTAGAATCATAGAATGGTAGAACTGGAAGGGACTCCCAAGCACAGCTGTCAACTTTTCCCTTTTCTTGCGAGGAATCCTATTCGGAATAAGGGAATCTCCCTTAAAGAAAGGGAAACTTTGACAGCTATTGTCAGGGCTGCCGCCCAGTCCCAGCTCACATAGGACCAAGTCAGCCAGCGTTCAGTTTCAAAGAGTCTTTATTGGATTACAGGTTCCATTTCCAAACTGCAACGTGCAGCCCTACTTCTTCTAGGTCAGAACGACGAAGACCCGTCTGAGTCTCCGCCTCTAGCGCACCAGCTTAATACCCTAGCCTTGCTCCACCTCCTGCGCCTTTCCTTCCGTCTCTGGGTCCTCCTGCCCCCCTGGGTCTCTCCTTTCCTACTCTCTTCTGACGCGGACCCCCCTGACCCTTCCGCCTCCTTGCGGCGGGCTTTGGGACCCGGTTCACTCTCTGGGCTGCTGACTGCGCCAGCTTCCGTTACATTTGAACTTGGCGCGCGCGCCCAACTCTCCACTTTCCTCTTGATCGTTTCCTCGCTCCCCGAGGTGGGTGTGACTACTCCTGACTCATGCCCTCCCTCCTTCTGAAAGTCTCCGGAGCCCGATATCTGGTCCCCTTTCTCCCCGCTGCTCCCGGCTGGGAACGTGGTCCCGATCTCCAACTGCTGCTTTCTGATCCCTCTCTGGACCCTTCTTCCTGGGGTGTCCCCCTGCTCTCCCCCCTTGCTCTGGCTGCTGGCGCTCCCTTCTGGGAATCCTCGGACTCGCTAGACAGGCTCGGTGATCTCGGGTCGTCATCCCCACTCATCCTTCCTTCGTATTCCTCCCCCTCGCTCTCTGTCTCCTCCCTTCTCTGCGTCTCTGCTCCTGAACCCCTGACATCCATCCCCCCCTCGAAGCCCCCCCTTCCCCCCTCCCCGCTTTCAAGGGTGGTTGGTGGGTGCTCCGTCATCACGGGAGTGAATGTCGGATACAGTTCGCTCCCCGTTGCTTGGCCGCCAACTGAAGACCTCCGAGTCTTCCTCCCCGCGTTCGTCAACGGTGGTCTCCTCCGCCTCCATCTCGGTTGCCGCCGTGCTCGAAACCAAGGTCCTCCCCGCAAAACGTCCATGTCCGTCTCTGCGTCTGTCGCTGGACTGGTGTCTCCTGCCACTTCCGGCGCCACTGCTCCTCTGGCCGATCGTCCCACCAATACGAGTTGTCGGACGCCGAACCCTCCGGTGACCCCTCTGGGGAACGTGTGCGCGGTGCGGGTTCCCCTTCCGAGTCGAAGCCATGGAACGTGCTGGAGGAAAGCGTGGGCGTGAACAACCAGTCGTCGAAGAAGCCCGCTGGCATAGGTCTGTGTGGGAAAAGGGCATGAAAACTCATCCTTGAGCAGGGGTTCCTCCAAGGCGTAGTCCGGCACCCAGCTATTAGTACTGGCCCGGGTGCCCTCCCTTGCTAGTAGATATTCTACTCCGTCTTCCCCCCATCTGGAGTCCAAAATCTCCGTGACTTCGTTGATGGGTCCTGCTGTGGCAATCTTCCCACCTCCGTCCGCTCCGGAGACTGACTCGGTGCCGTTCCTGGTTCCTGGAACCTGTGCGGTGCCCTGTAGGGAGTGAGCACCGACCTGTGGAACACCGGATGCATCCTGGAACCCTCTGGTAGCACCAGCCGGAAAGCCACCGGGTTGATCTGCGCTTCGACTCGGTATGGACCGAGTTGCTTGTGCCCTAGCTTCCTCTTGGCTAACGATCGGGTCGGCACCGCGTGGGCTGCCAACCAGACCCAGTCTCCCACTCGGATCTCCTCGCCAACTCGCCTGTGCTTGTCAGCTTGGGACCTTGTATGCGTGCTTCGCCAGCTCCAGCTGCCGTCTGAGTTGATCGTGGACCTCTTGCAACTCAGATGCGAAAGCGTCCGCCGTCTGTGGTTCCCCTTCCCCACTCTGTCCAGTCCCGGGAAGGTTCTGGGATTCCTCCCATTTTTGGCGAAGAACGGCGTCACCCCTGTGGATACGTGTTTCGTGTTGTTGTAGGCGAATTCGGCGAGCGCAGGTAATCCACCCACGTCGCAGGCTGTTGAGTGGCATAGCATCTCAGGTACTGCTGCATGATGGCATTGACCCTCTCCGCTTGCCCGTTGGTCTGCGGGTGCCTTGCCGATGTCAGGTTGATCTTGACGTTCAGGAAGCCCATCAGCTTTTGCCAGAAATTCGAGATGAACTGGCGTCCGCGGTCGGACAGTATAGACCGCGGCAGCCCGTGCACTTTGAACACGTGATCTATGAACAATTTGGCTGTTTGTTCTGCCGTGGCCACCTTCGCACACGGTATGAAATGTGCCATCTTGGTGAACAAGTCCACCACCACTAGTACAGCTGTCTTGCCTCTCGAGCTGGGTAGATCCGTGACAAAGTCCAGGGCCACCCTCTCCCATGGTTCAAACGGCGTTTGCAGCGGTTCCAGCAGTCCCGCCGGTGGTTTGTGCACCGGCTTGGCCCTCTGGCAAGGTGTCGCACCTCGCGACGTAGTCCGCGACTTCCCCCCTCAGTCTGGGCCACCAAAAGTCTCTTGCGACCAATTCCACCGTTTTTTCTGTGCCAAAGTGCCCGGCCGTGGGTGCGTCGTGCAGCTGCTGCAGTACCCGGGCGCGAAGTTCGTCTCCCAGCACGTAGACGGCCCCTTTACGTAAGAGCAAGCCGTCTCGTATCTGGAACTCGTCGCCCTTCGCCGTGCCCTTGTGCACCTCTGCCATCTTCGCCTGCGCGAATGAGTCGTCCGTCAACGCCCTTCGCACCGCATCCAGGTCTACTGTGGCTGAAGCGCACGCCCACGCTGTTGGCGCGAAGATGTGCATGGCCGCCGCTGGCGTCGCCTCTTCGAGGTACTGCGGTTTTCGGGACAGGGCATCCGCCATGATGTTGGTGTCGCCCGGGACGTACTCAATTCGGAAATTGAAGTCAGCAAAGAACTCCGCCCAACGGATCTGCCTCTGGTTCAGGAACCGAGCCGTGCGCCAGTGCTCCAGATTCTTGTGGTCCGTGCAGACCTGCACCGTGTGCTTGGCGCCGATCAGGAAGTGCCTCCACGCCTTGAAAGCTGCATGAATGGCAAGCAGCTCCCTATCCCAGATGGTGTAGTTCTGCTCCGACTTGCTGAGCTTTCTGGAGTAGAACGCCCCTGGCCTCCAGACCCCCTGCGGGTCCTTCTGCAGCAGTACCGCTCCCACTGCTCTATCGGACGCGTCTGTCTCCACCCTCAGCGGTCTGCTGGGGTCGATATGCAGCAGTTGCTCTTCCGACGCGAAGAGACGCTTGAGTGTCTGAAAGGACCGCTCCGCCTGCTCCGTCCAGATGAATTTCTTTTTCTTGGAGCTTAGCGTGTCCGTAATAGCTGCCGTCTGCATCGCGAACCCCTTGATAAACTTGCGATAGAAATTGGCGAATCCGACAAACCTCTGGACCTCTTTCCGGTTGCGCGGGCTCTTCCAATCCAACACCGCACGAACCTTGGCGCTGTCCATGGCTAGCCCCTTGTCCGACAGCTTGTAACCCAAGAAATCCACCTCCGCCGTGTCGAACTGGCACTTCTCCAGTTTGGCGTACAGTCTATGCTGCTGCAGCCTCTGCAGCACCTCCCGAACGTCCTGGTCGTGTGCTTGCTGCGAGTCAGAGAATATCAGGATGTCATCCAGAAAACAGACGCACTTCTTGTAGAGGAGTCCCGCCAACACGTGATGCATAAAAGCTTGAAAAACGTGGGAGCCATTTTGCAATCCAAAAGGCATAACTCTATATTCGTAGGTGCCCAGAGGCGTGAACATGGCTGTCTTCCACTCATCGCCCTCCCTCATGCGGATGAGATTGTACGCTCCTCGCAGGTCCAACTTGGTGAACACGCGTCCCTTGCGCACCGTCGCCAGCAGGTCGTCAATCCTGGGCATAGGGAAATCGGAGGGCTTGGTCATTCTGTTTAAGAGGCGGTAATCCACGACCAATCTTTTTTGGGGCGTGTCCTTTTTCTTCACGAAGAAAACAGGACTGCCCCCTACTGCGCTGGACTCCCGGATGAAACCGCGCTGCAAATTGTGATCGATGAACTGTTTGAGTTCCTGTAGTTCGTCCTCAGACATGGAATATAGCTTCCCCTTCGGCAGCGTCGCCCCTGGCAGGAGGTCAATCTTGCAGTCATATTGCCTGTGCGGTGGTAGCTTGTCTGCCTCTTTCTCGCAGAAGACCTCCAGAAAGTCCGCGTATTTTTGGGGGACTGCTTGCAACGTTCCCAACTGCAGTTGTGAGTCCTCCTCCTCCCCCTCCTGCCTGGGCAGGATGCAGTGTTCTGCGCAGTAAGAGGAGCCGAAGATCAGCTGTCTCTGGTACCAAGCCAGCGTTGGACTGTGCCTGTCCAGCCAACTCATGCCCAACACAATGGGCGTGTCCGACAGTCGGGTGACATTAAAACTGATGACTTCCCTGTGGTTACCAAGTTGCATCACCATTGGTGGCGTCTGCTTCACCACCTGCCCCCCTAGCAACTCTCTGCCATCCACTGTGACGACTTGCAGGGGCAGAGTGGCAGGCAGCAGCTTTATAGCGTGCTGCTCCACAAAATCCTGTGCTATAAAGTCTGCGTTGCTTCCAGAATCCACAGAAAGCGGCACTTCGATGGTGACTCCATTGGGTAGCTGGAGAGACGCTGTGAGTTGCACTACTGGTTTGGGTGGGAGGGGGTCCGTGGGTTGCAATATCGCTGGGGACTGCTTCACTGATGCGTCTGGCTGGGCCCCAGTGCCTCTGTCTCCAGCCAGACATCGTCGTTTCCCTGCTGGGCTTCGCTGCATTGCGTGGCCACTTTCACCGTTGCGGAGGCTGCAGTGTGCTTGGAGCTCCTCTGGGGACACTCTTTCGCCAAGTGTTGAGGGCTCTCGCATATGTAACACTTCCTGGTCCCTCTAGGAGGTTTAGTCTTGACTGCTGTCGGTGCAGAGGCTCTGCTAGCTGACTGAGCCCTGGCGCCTCCCACTTCCATAGGTTCCACTCCCCCTCCTGGCGGAGGTGTGGATTGCGCACGCGCTGCTTCCCTTGGAACGAAAGAGAAACTTCTCGCTGCTTCGCGCCCTCCACGTCCTTCATCTCTGCACCATGGACGTTCTTCCAGCCTCACCCCCACAGTCAGCGCCCTTTGGACCACCTCCTGCGTGCTTCGGGGCCTCTCCCCCCTCGCAATTTCATCCTTCACAGCAGAGCTGAGACCCTCCCAGAACAGGTCCCTGACTGGGGGCGAGTCCCGGTCCCATTCCAATGCACTGACCAGCGCAAAAAAGCGGGCGTGGTACTGCCGGACGCTCGCCCTCCCTTGTTTCAGTCCATGAATCTCCCGTCGGGCAAGATCCACATCAATGGTAGACAAAAAACATGCATCCATCGCTTTGATAAAGGCATCTGCACTCTGAAGCGCCGGATCTTTATCCCTCCACAAATTGCGCAGCCACGCCTTCGCATCCCCATGCAAATGGGACAGTATAAACCCCACTTTCTCTTGCTCATCTCTAAAGTCTTTTGCCAGCAGTTGCAGTGCGCACATCACATCTGCTCGAAAGTTGGGGTACTGTTGTAAATTCCCATCGAAGTGAGCCACCAGCCCTCCTGCTCTCCGTGCCAACCCAACCCCCTCCGGTCTGGGTCCTGGCTGCCCATGCTTAACCCATGCTTCAAACCTGGCGTGGAGATCTCGGTAGGCGGCTGCCACATCCTCCTCCCTTTTCTTGGATGCCAGTACCTCCGCATTCAATTGGGTAACTGCCTGTTGCAGCGCTGAAACTTTCTCTGCTTCCGTCATCTTTGCCAACCGTCGTGAGCTTGCTCCCACACACCGATCCCCTCCTCCAGCTGCTTCTGTCTCCGCTGCGAGGTATCAGGTGTCAGAAGCTTGAGAGACGGGTCTTACTGTCAGGGCTGCCGCCCAGTCCCAGCTCACATAGGACCAAGTCAGCCAGCGTTCAGTTTCAAAGAGTCTTTATTGGATTACAGGTTCCATTTCCAAACTGCAACGTGCAGCCCTACTTCTTCTAGGTCAGAACGACGAAGACCCGTCTGAGTCTCCGCCTCTAGCGCACCAGCTTAATACCCTAGCCTTGCTCCACCTCCTGCGCCTTTCCTTCCGTCTCTGGGTCCTCCTGCCCCCTGGGTCTCTCCTTTCCTACTCTCTTCTGACGCGGACCCCCCTGACCCTTCCGCCTCCTTGCGGCGGGCTTTGGGACCCGGTTCACTCTCTGGGCTGCTGACTGCGCCAGCTTCCGTTACATTTGAACTTGGCGCGCGCGCCCAACTCTCCACTTTCCTCTTGATCGTTTCCTCGCTCCCCGAGGTGGGCGTGACTACTCCTGACTCATGCCCTCCCTCCTTCTGAAAGTCTCCGGAGCCCGATATCTGGTCCCCTTTCTCCCCGCTGCTCCCGGCTGGGAACGTGGGTCCCGATCTCCAACTGCTGCTTTCTGATCCCTCTCTGGACCCTTCTTCCTGGGGTGTCCCCCTGCTCTCCCCCCTTGCTCTGGCTGCTGGCGCTCCCTTCTGGGAATCCTCGGACTCGCTAGACAGGCTCGGTGATCTCGGGTCGTCATCCCCACTCATCCTTCCTTCGTATTCCTCCCCCTCGCTCTCTGTCTCCTCCCTTCTCTGCGTCTCTGCTCCTGAACCCCTGACAGCTATGCTCCCAAGGATCACCTAGTCCAAGCCCCGGCAGTGCAGCAGTGTCAACATGCAGGCCCCAATCCAATTTGAACCGACACCAGACCTTGCTTAGCTTTGCAAATAGTAGCTTTATCCTTGAGTGAAGGGCAGTATATACATTTAATAAATAAATACCTGAAGAACAGAATGCATAAATATTTATTTTATTTATATCCCACCTTTTCCTCCAAGGACCTCAAGGCCTTGGTTCTCCCCTCCCCATTTTATTCTCACAACAACCCTGTGAGGTAGGGTTAGCCAGGCTTCCTCAATCTCGGCCCTCCAGATGTTTTGAGACTACAATTCCCATCATCCCTGACTGCTGGTCCTGCGAGCTAGGAATCATGGGAGTTGTAGGCCAAAAACATCTGGAGAGCCGAGTGCGAGGAAGCCTGAGTTAGGCTGAGAGACAGGTCCAAGGTTCATCCAGTGATCTTCACAGCTAAGTGGGAATTCAAACTCTGGTCTCCCAGGTCACACTCGCAGCACCTCTGCCTGGCATGTGTGCTCCCAAGGGGTAGTCACCTGGGAAATGTTACCTGTCACTCTGACCTTAGGCAGCAGGGTAGCTGCTCCAGTCGCCCGATGTGAATGCCTTGTCATTCACGGTGGTAAGCGTAGCAGATGTTGTGCCTCCCAGTTGTTGCTGGACTACAACTCCCATCATCCCTTGACAATTGGCCATCTTGTCTGGGGTGCAGGGAGGAAAATGTTCATCCCACATCACCGCTTGGACTTGGATGCATTGCAGAAAATCTCCTGTGGGCCCTTGGGGAAGAGATGATGCTCTCAGGTGGCCCCCAAAAGACTGATGCCTCTATCCCCAACCTGATACACAGTGCCGGATTAACCCTGTGGAGGCCCCTAGGCAGTCAAAATCGGGGGGGGGGGGGCTTGCAATAATGTAGGCTTCTGAGTTAATGGGAGTTTCTCTTCCAAATTAAAAATTCTTTGAGGATGAAATCAATATTATTTTGATCCGTTGTCGTGGGGACCATGGACCGGTGTCTACTCTGGCTATTTGGTAATCTGGCACTGCTGGTATGCTCCAGATTTGTGGGACTAGCACCCCCATCAGCCCCTGCCAGCACGGCTGTATGGTGCTGGGGCTGATGAACATCTGGAGGGCACCTGCATTGCAGGGGGCTGGACTAGATGACCCTCAGGGTCCCTTCCAACTCTACCATTCTATGCTTGGAAGCCTGGAACAGATTGTGACCTGACGCTGCCTAGTTTGCAGCTGTTCCAAAGGCCCAACGGAAGGGCGAGGCTCTGTGGCTGAGGTTTGGGGTGAGCCCCATATTATTGCTTCACCCCCAACCTTAAATAATGCCCCCTCCAAAACTGCTGGAGGGCGAGGGAAGGAAGAGCAGGGACTGGGGACTCCTGTTAACTGATGCTCCTCTCTCTTTGCCCTCTAGGCTGGATCTGGGGAACTGCTCGCTGCAGCACCTGTGTTCCAGCTTCCAGGAGGCCAGCACGGCTTTGCTCATGTGAGTCCATAAACACCTAAGAGGAGCCTGGCTGCTGGATCAGGCCAAAGGGGCCCATCCAGTCCTGCATTCTGCTCTCACAGTGGCCAGCCAGGTGCCTGTGGAACTCTCTGGCACTCCAAGCCCTCTTTAGGCTCCTTTGTTCAGGCTGGATTGGTGGGACGGATTCAGCTCCTGGGTCCTAACCTGAAGTCGCCTGACCCTCCCCCCCCCCCCGCCTTCCCAGAGGGAGCTGGAGTGACAGAGTTCTGGTCTCTGCTTGGCTTTGTATTTGCTTGCTCACACGTAACGCCATGCAGGGATTAGGCTGCCCTGGAATAGGGCTGAGTCACAGTCTTGGTGCCCCATTGTACAGGGAAGTATTAGGAAGGGTGCCTGAGGTTTGTATTCAAGCACCTTCTTCTGGGTTGTTCATCTGCGCTCCATTTCAGGCTAGAAATAATGCCTCAACATGATAGACTTGCCCTGAGGTTTCGGTAGCCCAGTCCCAGAGGGGGCAATGATGCCCGTGTAAAGTGCCACACCAGAATGTGCCCTGTGCATGCACAAGGCCTCGGGTTCAACCTCAGAGGAGGGCAGATGCAAGTAGGCCTGGTAAAAGCTTTCATGCCCCAAACCCTGGAGCAGTGGCTATCAAAGGGTGTGGTGCTATGCTATAATAATAATGATAACAATAACAATAAAATTTTATTATTTATACCCCAGCCACTCTGGGTGGCCCCCACCAAAATATCAAAACACAGTAATGCATCAAACATTAAAAGTTTCCCTAAACAGGGCTGCCTTTCGATGTCGTCTAAAAGTCAGATAGTTCTTGATTTCCTTGACATCTGTTGGGAGGGCATTCCACAGGGCGGGTGCCACTACCTAGAAGGGCCTCTGCCTGGTTCCTTATAACCTCACTTCTTGCAGGCAGGGAACCGCCAGAAGGCCCTCTGTGCTGGACCTCCGTGTCCAGGCTGAGCAATGGGGGTGGAGACGCTCCTTCAGATATACTGGACTGAGGCTGTTTAGGGCTTTAAAGGTCAGCACCAACACTTTGAACTGTGCTTGGAAACGTACTGAATCAAGCACTGCTAGGAGCAGTTTCTTTTTCATTTCCCAATGTATTTCTTCCCAGTTTAAAAGTTGGTGCAGCCGAAGCAAATTTTTATTCTGTGGCCCAGAGAAAAAAGTATGAGAACCATTGGCCTGGAGAGCCCCTGTCAGCGGGCCTGACTCTGCAAAAGGCCGTTTCCTGTGTTTCCGTACCAGAGCGCAGGGCCTGACTCTGCTTCCTCCTTCTCAATGCAGTGACCTGACCGACAACCCTCTGGAGCCCCTCCCTGAAGACGCCTTCCGGAGCTTCACCCACCTGCAGACCCTGTGAGTGGGGTGGAGAGCTGGGCTGGGGGGCTCCTGCTTCTCCTGGACTGTGCCAGCTGAGCCCGAGGGTGATGGGTTCCTCTGGTGCCGCTTCCTCCTGGGAAACAGCAGCTTAGTGGTGGCCGGGAAGCTTTTTGTGGCTCCCGTGGCCCCTTGCTGCAGGGCAGGCCCCTGGGACATGGCTTCCAAGTCCTGCTGTTGGGACAGTTGGGGGGGAAACCAGTCCCAGACTTGGTGAGATTCATAATTCCCCTTGATCCGCAGAGCTCTGCCCCTGACGCTGGAGTGCCCTGGAGGCAACGAAGGCTGGGACAACGTCACCGTCCAAGGGAGCAGCCGGATATGCCACGGCCAGAGGAACCCCTGCAACGGCTCAGGGGGGCTCGGTATGGAGGGGGCGGGCAGGGGCTGGCCTGCTTGGGTGCTGGAGGAGCAGCCTCATGTGGAATGGGGGTGTCAGGGCAGTTGTGGGGCGCAGGAAGCATTGATTTGGGAAGCCACCAAAGTCCTTCCTTTATCCGCCGCAGTGAAGGAGCTGCAGGATGATGCTGTGTGAAGTGTTGCGTTCCCAAAGCAAGGAAGGATTGGACTCTGATTCATAGAATACACACAGAGGCTTGACCAGCAAGACTCTGGGAGGGGTGGCAATAATAATTCCTCTCCACCCCCTGGCCCAGGTCGTTTTATTCACAAAAGAACTTTTTAAACAGTGTTCATAAGAACCAATCAGATTTCCTCTGAGCATTTCAAAAACCCCACATGGGACAAAGTCAGATCAGAAGAAATCCTGTTAACTACAAAGAAACTATTTCCTACCTGAGCATGCATATGTGGTTAATTTAAATAAACAGGAGCCACGTAGAAATGCGTTTAGTGCCCCCAGAGCTCATAAACCCATAGGAAAGAAAGACGCATTTACCATCTCCATGTAAACTCTCTTCCTGGCCCTTAAGATCTATCTAAAGATTAACGAAAGCTACATCAAAGTTACCTCCTATTTTTATGGCTCAGGATGCCTGGTGAAGCCACCAGTCTGTGATTTAGAATGCTTTACATGCCTGTCAGGTGTAGAAAATGGACAGTAGAGAAGATGGGGCAGAAGTGGAGAGGCTTGTGGGATTTGATCAGAAATTATTGTCAATGAATCAAGCCCAGTCACAGCAGGTTGGCCAGTGTAAGAACAGAGCACTAGACTGGATTTGCCCCTAGCCTGACCCAGCGGGCTTTTCTTCTGTTCTTCTAGAACCTCCAGGTCCAGAGGCAGTCTACCTGGATTCCGAGGTTCTTTGGGGTATTTGGCCACTGTAGGACGAGATGCTGGACTAGTTGGGGCCCTGGCCAGATCCCGCAGACTCTTCTTAAACATTCCTCACCTGCAGGATGTGGGGGAAGTCACGCTCCCTTGTCCTCTTCCTCCCCCAGGCCACCTGTGCCCAAAGGACTCCTCGTGTGCCCCCAATGGGCCCGGCTTGCCCCAGTGCCTCTGCACCAGCCCCCACTACGGCTACAAGTGCCTGCGCCAGGTGAGCTGCCCCAGAGGGTGGGGGGCTTTGTGTTTGAGAGGAGGGGTGCAAAGAGGGGGCCAGGGGGGTTGTGCTACTCAACTGGAGCAGAGCGGCTTTTTTCGTGCCCCAGGAAAGCCTGGGGGCTGGGAGACAGTGGAGGCCAGGAATGCAGGGCCGCTGCCCCCTCACCCTGGCCCAACGGCGGGAGCCCTGCCCCAGCCCTGCAGCTGTGTGGGCGGCTCAGGGTTGCAGGTTTGAACCCCACGATGGGAAAAAAGATTCCTGCATTGTAGGGGGTTGAACCAGGGCCTTTTCTTTTTTTTTTTTTTTTTTATAATAATTTTTATTGCGTCTTTTTCCAGATTACAAATATAACAGTGACAAAAAATAAAAAAAGCACGAAAAAGAAAATAAAGAAAAAAAAGAAATAAAAAGAGATAAGCACAACAAAACCAGACCATTTCATCAACTTATTTCAGATTTCTATCGAACTTCCCCACATCTCCCCGTAATGCATTCTTGGCAATAAAACCATCAGCAAGTTATAACCTTGTTTCACGTGTTTTTTGTACTTTCAATTACTATTTAAGTTTAAGTTTAAATCTCTTATATTCCAATTAGTTTAAAAATCTTACAATATTCCTTTTTACCCATTTAAACTTTGATTCTTTCATAGGTAATTCAACTTTCATAAATGATCCACTTATATTGCTGGGGCTGACATTTCAAATCATGCGACATCTTAAGATTCATATAGTTTATAATACTTTTGCAAATAGTCCTTAAACTTTTTCCAGTCCTCCTCCATCGCTTCTTCTCCCAGATCTCGGATCCTTGCAGTCATCTCGGCTAGTTCCATGTAGTTCATCAATTGCGTCTGCCACTCCTCCAGTGTGGGCAAATCTTGAGTCTTCCAATGCTTAGCGATAAGAATTCTTGCTGCTGTTGTAGCATACATAAAAAAAGTTCTATCCTTCTTTAACACCTTCTGGCCGACAATGCCCAGAAGGAATGCCTCTGGTTTCTTAGGAAAGGTGTATCTAAACACCTTTTTTAACTCGTTATAGATCATTTCCCAGTAGGCCTTCAATCTTGGGCAGGTCCACCAGAGGTGAAAGAATGTCCCCTCCGCTTCCTTACACTTCCAACATTTGTTATCGGACAAATGGTAAATCTTAGCCAGCTTGACCGGGGTCATGTACCACCTGTATACCATTTTCATAATGTTTTCTTTCAAAGCATTACATGCAGTGAACTTCATACCGGTGGTCCATAACCTCTCCCAGTCTTCAAACATAATATTGTAACCAATGTCCTGAGCCCATTTTATCATAGCTGATTTAACTGTCTCATCCTGAGTGTTCCATTTAAGCAGCAAGTTATACATTCTCGATAGTAATTTGGTCTTTGGTTCTAGCAACTCTGTCTCAAGTTTCGATTTTTCCACCTGGAATCCTATTTTTTTATCTAACTTAAAAACCTCATTGATTTGGGCATAATGTAACCAACCTTGCACCATACTTTGTAATTTTTCAAGGCTCTGCAACCTCCATTTACCTCCAACATTTTCTATTATTTCCCAATATTTCGGCCAGTAGGCCTCCATATTGGGTTTTTTCCGAGCTTTGGCCTCTATTGGTGATAGCCACCTCGGAGTTTTACTCTCCAATAAGTCTTTGTATTTTTCCCAGACCATAAATATTGCTTTTCTGACAATATGGTTTTTGAACATTCCAAATGTTTTTGCCTTGTCATACCACAGGTACGCATGCCACCCTAGCGAATTGTTAAAGCCTTCCAGATCTAAGACATCGGTGTTTTCTAACAAAAACCAGTCTTTCATCCAACAGAAAGCCGCAGCTTCGTAATATAACCTTAAGTCCGGCAGGGCAAACCCCCCTCTCTCCTTTGCATCGGTTAGTATTTTAAACTTTATTCGGGGCTTTTTGCCCTGCCAGACAAACTTGGAAATATCCTTCTGCCACTTTCCAAAACAATCCACTCTGTCCACAACCTGCAAGGCCTGAAACAAGAACAACATCTTTGGCAATACGTTCATTTTTATAGCTGCAATTCGACCTAACAAGGATAATTTCAATCGTGACCAAGTTTCTAAGTCTTTTTTCACTTCTGTCCAACATTTCTCATAATTATCTTTAAATAAATTCAAGTTCTTGGAAGAAAGATTGACCCCCAGGTATTTCACTTTTTTAACAATGTTTAGTTCTGTTTCCTTCTGAAACCCTTCTGTTTCGTCAACTGTCAAGTTTTTCCCTAACACCTTGGTTTTTTGTTTATTCAACTTGAAGCCCGCCACCCGACCAAATTTCTGAATCAATTCCAAAACTCTTTTTGTACTAGGTTCTGGCTCCTGTAATGTTAAAACCAAGTCATCTGCAAATGCTTTCAGTTTATATTGTTTCACTCCGACCCGAATCCCTTGTACCTGCTGATCCCTCCTTATCATGTTCAGCAGCACCTCCAGGACCGAAATAAACAACAAAGGGGAAAGGGGGCACCCCTGACGTGTCCCTTTTTCAATATGAAGTTCTTCTGTCACCACATTGTTCACTATCAACTTAGCTTTTTGTTCTGAATAGATTGCCTCTATTCCATTCTCAAACCCCTTTCCCACTCCCATCCCTTCCAAATTTTTCTTCATAAATTTCCAAGAAATATTGTCAAAGGCCTTTTCCGCGTCAATAAAAATTAACACAGCTTTAGTGTTAATATCTGTTTGTAAAAGTTCCAAAATGTCAATAATATTCCTAGTATTATCAAACAGATGTCTACCTGGGAGAAAGCCCGCTTGGTCCTTATGAATTACTTCGTTTAATACTTTTTTGAATCTGTTAGCCAAAATGTCTGCAAATATTTTGTAATCCACGTTTAGGAGTGAGATGGGACGATAGTTCTTAAGTTGAGTCTTTTCAGTTTCCACTTTGGGTATCAGTGTGATGAATGCTTCTTTCCATGTGTCTGGTGCTCTCCCTCCCTCCATAACCTGGTTACAAACCTCCAGTAATGGTTGTAACAAGCAGTCTTTTAATGTCCTGTAATATTTGGAGGTAAGTCCATCCGGGCCTGGAGATTTGCCTAACTGCATATTTTGAATGGCATCCTCAATTTCCTGTTGTGTTATTTTACAATTCAAGATTGACCTCTTCTCTTGAGACAATTCTGGTAGGCCATTGTCTTTCAAGAATTGTTCAATCTCATTTGCTTCCTCGGGTTCTTGTGTATACAGTTTTTTAAAATATTTCTGGAAGCACTTCCTAATTTCCCCTGGTTTCTGGATACTTTTCCCTTCAACTTCTAGATTAGTAACATAATTTAATTTTTGTCTCTTTTTCAACTGCCAAGCTAGCAGTTTCCCACATTTGTTCGCAGATTCAAAAGATCTTTGTTTCATTTGTTTGATTTTCCATTCCACTTCTTGGTTTATCAATTTCGTATATTGCGATTGGTGGAATTTGATTTCTCTTAAAATCTCTTTTGATTTTGGATTCGATCTTAATTTTTTCTCTCCTTCTCTTATCTTCTCTAATATCTTATCCTTTTTCCCGTTCCAGAGTTTTTTCTTAATCGTATTCTGTTGTATCAGAAACCCTCTCATAACCGCTTTACTTGCATCCCAGATTATTCTTTTTTCCACCGAGGTATTCAAATTAATTTCAAAGTAGTCCTTTATGGCTTTTTGGGCCTTCTTTACAGTCTCTTGATCTCTTAGCAGGTTGTCATTCATTTTCCATCTGAAGGAATCGGCAGTAGTAAATCTCATTTCCATTTTCAAAGCATTATGGTCGGAGCAAGTCTTTGGGCAGATTTCTACTCTTGTAGTCTTAGGTGCCAGCCCTCTAGATGTCCAGATTTGGTCGATTCTTGTCCATGACAGGTGGGCCTCAGAAAAGAAGGTTCCTTCTTTACCTAAGGGGTTTCTTGTCCTCCATAGATCAATCAAATCCATATTGTCAATCAGTTCAAAAAAGGTTTTTGGTAGTCTTCCATCTTTAGTCAAGTTCTGGTTCTGCGACTTATCCATAAGAGTAGAGACAACTCCATTCATATCTCCCATCATAATGATATTAGAATAGTCCAGATAGTCCAGTAATGTCTCATGTAGCTTCTTGTAAAATTCTGATTTCCCCTCATTCGGTGCATAAATTCCTAAAACCAAAACTTTTTCTCCTTGGGTTTGTATTTCAATTGCCAGGATTCTTCCTTGTTCATCTTTAAACAAAAATTTTGGTGATAAATTCTCCTTTGCATAGATCACCACACCTCTCTTTTTGACTCTGTCTGATGAAACAAATTCTTGGCCTAGTCTTTTATTTATTAACACCTTCCTGTGAAGCCTGGTCACATGTGTTTCTTGCAAGCATATTATGTCCAAATTTTCTTTCTTTAAAATATGAAATATCCTTTTGCGTTTTTCCGGGGAGTTTGCGCCATTAATGTTCCAACTATACAGCTGCAGAGACATCCTGTATCAATCTGTTGTTGCTCTTATGGGGCGTCTTCTTTTTTATCCAAATCCGAGGGTGCTGGTTCTTTTCCAGACTCTGGTGGAGGCCAAAGAGTTGCTGTTCCTTTCTGCAGGTCTTCTCCGTGGTCGTGTAGAAACTTCTGGCTATCCTCTTTCGTTTTGATTTTAATCTTCTTTCCTTTGTAGTTGAATGATATTCCTTGTGGAAACTCCCACCTGTACGGTATTCCGTTACCTCTCAAAGATCCAGCTAGATCAGAATAGTTAGATCTGAGATCCAATAATTGTTTAGGAATATCTTTGTAAATTTGTGCTCTTCTGTCCTGGATCTCAAATGCTTTGTTAAAATGTAGGTCCAGTAGCTTGTCTCTCTCCTGCTTGGCCCTTAAAATGATCAAACAGTCTCTGGGCCTGTCTTTCCTGGTGACTCTTCCCAATCTAAATGCAGTTGTTATCTTGAAGTCTGTATCTTCCTTTATACCCCAGAATTTAGAAAATTCTGCTGTCAAGAAGCCAATCAGGTCCTCTTTCTCAATCTCTGGGATAGAACGTAATCTTAAATTATTTTCCCTGTTTCTCAGTTCCGCTAAAGACAGGTAGGCCTGCTGGTCACTAATCTGTTTATGCAGCGGCCTTACCTCTCCTTTCAATTCCTCCACTTTCTGAATTGCTTCACCTGCTTTTTCATTCGCAGCCTCGGCCAATTTCCGATTTTCAGATGTGGCGTCCTTTAAATTTCCAATATCTTGTGAATGCTTGGCCACCTGTTCAGAAAGTTTAGTAATTGAAGATATGGCTAAGTCAACTTTTGCCGATTGGTCATCAACCTTTTTATTCAAAATTGCAAATTGTTGTAGCATTTCCTCTAGAAGGGTATTAGAACTCCCTGCTGCCATATCCTCCGCTGTTGGCTGTTCAGCTTCCTTGGAAGAGGCTGCTGTTGTTAGTGCAGTTCCCTGTAAAACAGCAGGGACTGAAGATCTACGAGCCTGAGAAATCAAAGTTGTTTGTACCAATTGTCCTTTCCCTGCTTTCGATGCAGCTCTTGTTTTTGGTGGGCCACTCATTCCACACCTGTCTTTAGATTCAAGGTCAAGCTGTCAAAAGTTCCATGGGAAAGACAAGCTTCAAAGTAAACAACCAAGCCACAGAGAGTCAAAACAAAGTTAGTTCCCAGCAAGTTGTAAATCCCAAAGCCCACTAGAGGGAGTATTGTTGCAATTCAGGAAAGAAGGAACAAAGTTTCAGTCGCCATTAAAGTTCCTGCAGTTAAATAAGTAAACAATATTCCTTAGAGAAGACTTTCTCCCCTCTAGCAGAGCCCTCTCAATATTGCCACAAAGTTTATCTTGAGGTGCCAGATACAGTCATTAATTTGTATCCACCAGTGCTGCCTCTGTGTATCCAGTTCAACTTTGTATTTGTATCCGCAAAAAAGCCTTTTTCCCCCTGCAAGTCCGAGACTGGGGTTCTCAACGTTTTAAAAGTCCAATAAAGAGGATAGTCCCCACATAAAATAAACACAATGACAGAAAGAGTAAAAGTCACTTGCCTTTCCCTTCAATTGCTAACTTCAACAGACGCATGTATATCCCAATTTAAAGCCTTTTTCTATTGCTTCCAGCTTGACAGTTCCTTTGCCTTTGATCACTAAGCACCACCGGGAGACGGACTTCCTTTTTCTCGTCTCCCGCTTTCAGCCAAATTCATAGATTTGTAATCCAATTTCGAGTAAATCTTACTCACGAGTAGTCAATTTGTAATCCAATGTTAAGGAAGAAAGGTCGGCGCTCATCAGTAACAGCCGCGCGGCTTCACTCCCGCAGAAAGAGCGATGAATCCACAGCACCGCTTCCCCTCCGCGCTTCCGGAGCCCCTTACGGGGTCCCTTCTTCGGTTTGGGGGTCGCTCTTGGTGCCCGCCGGATCCCACGGCCACGAGCTCGCTCTGCTCGTGGTTTTTCTTAGTGGGTCGTCGCTTTGCCGCAGCGAACGACCCTTTCCTGCGGAGCCCCTCTTCGCAGCGCAAAGAGGACCGCCATTACTTGTTTCGCGCCGCCTCCGGAAGTCTCTGAACCAGGGCCTTTTCAGCACTGGCCCCGACTTGGAGGAACGCTCTGTCCCAAGAGACCAGGGCCCTGCGGGACTTGACATCTTTCCACAGGGCCTGCAAGACAGAGCTGTTCCACCTGGCCTTTGGTCTGGACTCAGTCTGACCCTTATGTTTCCCTCCCCTTACGGTCTTGATTTATTGGCTACTTTAAAACGAGGCTGCATTTTAAATTGCATTTTAACCTGTATTTTAAATTGGCTCCCCCCCCCCTATTATGTTTCTACTGTAATTTTACTGGTGTTAGCTGCCCTGAGCCTGGCTCTGGCTGGGGAGGGCGGGGTATGAATTATTATTATTATATGACCCTCAGGGACCCTTCCAACTCAACCAATTTATGATTCTCTCATTCCGCAAAAAGACCCTCGACCCAGCCAGGTCCAGCGGCAGCCCCCAGTCTAAGGCGCTGCCCCCTGCTGGCCTTCCCCAGACTGGCTCGGGTGTTGGGGGGCCTTGGGGGCTGCCCCACTAGGAGAAATGTCTTCCTAACTGACCTTTCTTTTCCAGGGCACCTTCCCCTACCTGCTGTTCTTTGGGGCCTTGGGAGCCGTCACCATCGCCCTCTCCCTCCTTCTGTGGGTCACCCAGAGGCGGAAGGCAAAGGTCTCCTAGAGGCTCTCTTCTCTCCCCTCCTCCTGGCCTGAGGCTGGACATAAACCCTTTGGCTTGGGCCACAAGTTTGTAATAAAGTCTGGAACACAGAGAGGAATGGTCCTTGTGGCGGAACCGAACCCCCCCCAGGGCTCAGGGGTCTCTGCCATGGGGCTGCTGGCTAGAGGGTCCCAGAGGAAGAGGCGCCCTGGGCTCCCCCTTCTCCGCCAAGGCCGCTCTGATATCTTGGGATTCTCACAAGGGGCAGAACCTGCATCTCACAAGCCTTGCTGCAGTTGCTGCCCTCCAGACCCCCAAAAGGCCTCACGGACGGGGTCCCTGACGCAGCCAGAGTCAGGGAGATGGCGGTTGCCCCCCTTGCTTTGCAGGTGCGTGGGACTCTCTCCCAGAAAACCCGCCGGGCGCTATTTCCCTAGAAAGGTTTGTCCGTTGCCCCCCAGGAAGAGTCAAGCTGGAGACAGGGCACTAGTGTGTTGACATCCTCACCCACAGTTGCCGAAATGAAGGAACATCACACTTTTGCTTCTGTGTGCTGACGGCGAGTTGGAAATACAGAGGTAGCAGCTCCCTGTGAGCTGCTCACGGCCACCTCAGGTTCATTCCAGGCATTTAAGCGGAATTGCCCAAAGTTTGCATAAGAACTTTATTTTTATTTTGAAATATTTTTTATTTCTATCAATACAAATCTACAATCCAACAATTATATAATCGTCTCTTGAGATTCTCTGAATTGCTTGACTTCCCCCCGTCCCCTAGAATGGTTCCTTATTAAAATATTTATTCTTCTTCTTCTTTGGCGATCCCTTGTAGCCGAGTAAAATTGTCTTCCATAAACACACCGTTTTAACAATGAGTTTGTAAGTGACTGTGGAGGCCAGTTCTGGATCCACACATCCTTCCACAGTGGGGACATTGGTTTCTGGGCAGGAGTTGATCATGGTATGGATTTGCCAAGTGTGTCTTCCTCTTAGCACGTTTCCCCCTTGCGTCCTGAGTTCGAGTCTCTTCAAAGCCCAGGACCCCTTTGGTAAAGGCTGTTCTCCAGCTGGAGCGCTTGCATTCTCCAAATTTCAATTTTCAAATCATCCATACTTTTGTTACATTACAAGTGAGTCTCAGAGTCCAGCTAAAGTTTCAATTTGATTACAATGGTCTCTTAAATAAATTATGAATTTCCCCCATTATTTTTATGAAATCTTATCCTCTCGATTCCTATCTTCCTGTTACTTTTGCCATTTCGGCGAAGTCCAGCAGTTTGGCTGGTTGCATAAGAACTTCAGTTGTGATTCCTGCATTTCCCTCGCAGGTCCCTTCCGCCTGTACGATTCTATGAACCCCCCCCCCCATTGTGAAGAGGCTCCTGTGGTCACTTGGGGAGACCTTGGCGGGCTAATTTTCCTTCTGTGAAAGAGCAGGGCCTTCCTGGGACGCTTGCATTGCAGGGGACTCATTCTTCATCTTTACTGCTCCCTTCAGCTTGCCAAAGAGTTTTGAAGGGTGCCAGGAAAATACCGTATTTTTTGCTCTATAAGACTCACTTTTTCCCTCCTAAAAAGTAAGGGGAAATGTGTGTGCGTCTTATGGAGCGAATGCAGGCTGCGCAGCTATCCCAGAAGCCAGAACAGCAAGAGGGATTGCTGCTTTCACTGCGCAGGGATCCCTCTTGCTGTTCTGGCTTCTGAGATTCAGAATATTTTTTTTCCTTGTTTTCCTCCTCCAAAAACTAGGTGCGTCTTATGGTCTGGGTCGTCTTATAGAGCGAAAAATACAGTACTTTTTTATTGGGGAGGGGGAGATGGGGGCCACGGGTGTGTCTTTTGCCTGCCTGCCTACAACTCAGATGGACGCCAGCTCCAGAACTCTCTTGGAAGGAGGCCTTTGCTTCATACACAGAATTAAACAAGGCAGGCAGGTATTCTGGTGGTGGTGCTCCATAGCCTGGAATCATAGAACTGGAAGAAGGGGCACCTGCTCCCTGCCTGATGCTAGAGCAGCCTGCCTGATGCTACAGCAGCCCCAAGCAAGGAGCATAATTCGCATCTGGGGCCCAAAGCAGCTCTTCTGCTGATGCCAGCTTTACAACCAGGGAGCGCTTTGAAATTTGGCCCATGTGAGAGGCCTGGACTAGGTGGGTGTTAGGGAAAAATCTAGGTGTGAGGCTGCTCAGTCGCCCAGCTGGTGGGGCAGAGCCCCCGGGTCCCTGCGGAATAAAGGAAGGAGTCCAGCCCCCAACCGGAGCAAATAGCTGCAGACCAAAGTTTATTGTGCAACAATTTCAAAGAGGAATTTTGAACCTCGAGAATGGGGTGACAAAGACTTTTAAAACTTTCCCACCACATCCCAGAATACAATACATACAGCATCATTGATGCATCATTGCTACATCACTGACATGTCCCGAAAGGGGAGGGGTAGACTGGGGGTACACTAGTTTAACCTTGGCAAAGATGTCCAGACAAGATTAGCATAAGGGCAAGACCCAGGTATAAGACGAGCAGAGGCAAAGACCTCTGAAGTCCCACCACCCAAAGTACAAGAGAACTTCCTTTGCATGTCTAGCCCCTTGGCAAGTCTGGTGATGGGATTAGGCTTCCCTTGGCCAACAATCAGCTCAGCAATTGCCACCTCTGGGCACTTCCTGGGGTGGGAGGTGTGCATTCATGTCCTCACACTTGGGGAGGAGGCAGGGAAAAGAGTCCTGTTTCCAAGGGCAAAATAGTGTTGAAATGAAGGAAACTGGCAAAGGAGTTGATTTTATATGATTGTTAAAGCTAGGTAACTTCCCTGAGCCATCAAGTCGAAAGGTTACATTTATGCATAATATTTGTAACATTTAACAACTTTAAAGATGTGCCCCCCCCCGTGTAATTTCCGTAACCGTGGGCCATTGATCTGATCCAGAAGGCTTTTTGTACGGTCTAATTTCCTCAAGTGTTTTCCCTTAAAACAGCTTCAGGAGCCTCTAGCAAACAAAACAAAATTCTTGCCGTGAAAATACTTGAGAGTTTCTTTCACAGAGTCTCTGGTTCAACGCTTGAAGATTCCCCATACACACCATAGATTTGTAGAGTGGGTCATCTAGACCAACCCCCTGCCGTAATAATAATAATAATAATAATATTATTATTATTATTATTATTATTATTATTATTTATACACAACCCATCTGGCTGGGTTTCCCCGGCCACTCTGGGCAGCTTCCAACAGAATATTAAAATATTATATTAATATATTAAAAGACAATAGTCTGTCAAACATTAAAAGCTTCCCTAAACATGGCTGCCTTCAGATGTCTTCTAAAAGTTTGGTAGTTATTTTTCTCTTTGACATCTGGTGGGAGGGCGTTCCACAGGGCGGGTGCCACCACCAAGAAGGCCCTTTGCCTGGTTCCCTGTAACCTCACTTCTCGCAATGAGGGAACCACCAGAAGGCCCTCGGAGCTGGACCTCAGTGTCCGGGGGTGGGGATGGGGGTGGAATTGCAGGAATTGCAGCTGAAGTGAGCAACCGCTGAGTGGCAAACCCTCAAGGCGGCTGCTTCTGCCAGGGAATGGAGCATGGCTTCTCCTTGCTAAGGTGCCCCACACATAAATACAGCTTAAAGCGTGTCTGACTCTTCTATGCATGCGCTGCCCCTCCTGCAAAGCGCCCCCTGCTGGCTGCTGCGCCTGGAGATCTGCCCAGGATGAGCCTCCAGCCCCCCACCTCATCCTCCCACAATGCACTGCTCCTGCCTAAGCCGCATGCATGTCCCCCGTGCATCGTCCTGGACGCACAGTAGTGCCCCCTGCTGGACTCCCTAGGAAAGGCATGCCAAGGAGAGGCACGTGCCAAGGGCTGCCAGAGGCACCTGGGGCAACGGGAACCGGGGGTTGGTGTAATAAATGGAAATCTGCCCTTATTCCCTTATGGGGGACACAAGAGCCCTTGTAGAGTCCTTCGCAGGTTCTCCATCGGTCGGAGGAAAAGAACAGAGGCCAGCCAGGGAATATTGAGAAGCAAAGCAGCTCGTAAGCCTGATCTTTATTGATCTGTTGCAACAGGGTCCTCACTCCCCACACGCAGGAAAGGAGGAGGACCCAGAATCAAGGTGTGACCGCCCTTATATAGACATTTTAAATTGCCCGCCCTGGAGTCCAAGACCACCCCCAGATACATCATACCTACATCACAGAAAGGGCGGGCTTAAGCAGAAATCTGAGTGCGTTGTTTATCTCCTGTCGTCATTTATTTCCTGTCTGGCAGGTTACCTGTGTTAACAGAGAAATCTGAGGGCTCCCTTGGACAAAAACAAGGACACCAGCCAGGAATACCAGAGCAAAAGAGCAGCCAGTTGGCTTGGTCTTGACTGAAGACTGTCGCGACAGGACTCCCACCTGCCACCAGGTGGAACAAGATGGAAGCCCCGAACAAAAGAGACCCCAAACTTTTATTAGCTGCTCATCCCCATGTTACACCCTCCAAACTACATCACTAATACATCATGAAAGGGGAGGTCTGGTGGCAGTACTGTGAGCATCCTGGACCCTGCCCCATGGTTCCCCTTGCCCTCCACCAAACACCCATCAAGTGGAACAAAAGAGATCTTTACATTTCTCTGTTTCCCAGCCAAGTTCATCCCACCCTTTTGTCTTCATCTGGGTTTGTTCTTTCTGGAATGGCTACCTGTCTGGCACTCAGGTGTCAGGGTGCCAGGGGTTATCCCTCAGGCAGAGGGGCTGCTGAATAGCTGAGCTCACAGATGTAGATGAATTTCTGAAGTTTTCCCAGTGAACCAGTACATAGATACATTGATCAGTGAATTCTTACATTTGGTATTGTGCAGCAGAGGCCCTTTGAATAGGCAGGAAGAAACTGTGGTGAAGTGTTTTGCGGGGACAAATCACAAAAGTCACAAAAGTGATCGTTCTGACTTTGGTAGTGGGCTGCATGTGCATATCTACTGGAGGGGCAACACCCCCCCCATACATAAATTCCTGCACCGCCTGTTTAATGGTTACTTGATTGGATTGCCTGGGGAGCCTGGCCAGTCTTTTGTAATGATAAATACTCAGTTCCTGGGCCAGGTCACAGGCTCACACCCTATTCAGATCTTAAATGTGCCATTAAGAGAGGATTTGTGAGGAAAGAGACAATGGGGAGGTTTCCCACTTTGACCTTGCAGAGAAATACCGTATTTTTTGCACCATAACACTCACTTTTTTCCTCCTAGAAAGTAAGGGGAAATGTCTGAGCGTGTTATGGAGGGAATGCCTACGGGTGGCATGCCTACGGATTTTCCTCCTCTAAAAACTACATGCGTGTTATGGTCGGGTGCGTGTTAGAGCGAAAAATACGGTATTTGAGGTCAATTTGCTCAGGACTTTTTTTCTGTGGGGTTTCAGACATGTGCTTTATATATTTATGTACGTGTTTGCTTGGTACATTTATGAACATTTATTACATATAGCGCGGGTGGCGCTGTGGGTTAAACCACTGAGCCCTAGGGCTTGCTGATCAGAAGGTTGGTGGTTCGAATCCCCGCGACAGGGTGAGCTCCTGTTGCTCGGTCCCAACTCCTGCCAACCTAGCAGTTCGAAAGCACGTCAAAGTGCAAGTAGATAAATAGGTACCACTCCTGCGGGAAGGTAAACGGCGTTTCCATGTGCTGCCAGAAGCGGCTTAGTCATGCTGGCCACATGACCCGGAAGCTGTACGCCAGCTCCCTCGGCCAGTAAAGCGAGATGAGCGCCGCAACCCCAGAGTCAGTCACGACTGGACCTAATGGTCAGGGGTCCCTTGACCTTTACCTAAGACCTT